ACTCGAACTCTCCCTCTTCGCATGTATCTTCTCCTCCACGGAAAATCCTTTCTTCAATCAACAATATCCTGGCGATCGCGCCGATTCTCGTAGTGTGGCTCCGACTTCGTCTTCTACTTGTGAAGGCCAACTGAAGTTGCGCACAACTCCAGTTTCTCAATGGTGACTGCCTTCGTCAACATGTCCGTCAGATTTTGACTCCTCAAAATCTTCATTAAGTGTAACTTTTCGTCTTCAACTAACGAGCGTATAAAATGGTATTTTATGTTGATGTGCTTCGTTCTGGCATGATATAATAGATTCTTAGCAAGATGCATAGCGCTCTGGCTATCACAATAAAGAACTCCTCTCCCTTGCTTCAGATCCAACTCTTCCAAGCACCCGTCCTCTCCCTTGCTTCAGATCCAACTCTTCCAAGCACCCGTTCAACCAGATCATCTCCTTGCTTGCTTCGGTCACAGCGACATACTCAATCCAACTCTTCCAAGCACCCGTTCAACCAGATCATCTCCTTGCTTGCTTCGGTCACAGCGACATACTCAACCTCGATTGTAGACAAAGTCACAATCTTTTTTGCAGACGTAAGACTCAGCTCATTGTTGTCGACACTAAGGTATAAACATACTCCGTGGTGCTTTGCCTCGTATCATGATCAGCGGCGAAATCCGCATCTACGTATCCTTGCAGCACCAACTCCTTCCTCCTGAAACATAGTGGTTTGTTCGTTGTTCCCCTTAAGTACCGCAATATCCACTTCACGACCTCCCAATGTTGCTTCACTGGATTGCTTGCAAATCTGCTCACAACTCCCACTACATGGACGATGTCCGACCTCATGCAAACTATCGCGTACATGAGACTCCTAATGGCCGAAGAATATGACACACTACTCATATGTTTTCTATCTGCATCTGTCTTAGGCGATTACTCCTTAGATATCTTGAACTGACTTTCAAGAGACGTGCTAACAACTTTAGTATTCTGCATGTTGAACCTCTGAAGTACCTTCTTGATATATTCAGCTTGGCTCAATCTCAACCTTCCTTCAGCTTTATCCCTACTGATTCGCATTCCTAGAATCTGCTTCGCTGCACCCAGATCATTTATTGTAAATTCCTTTGCTAGCTGCTTCTTCAAACTGTTTATATCTTCTAAACACGGTCCTGCTACCAACATGTCATCAACATATAATAACAAGATAATGAATCTAGACTCGAACCTCTTGAAATAACAGCAATAATCTGAATTGCATCTTCCATATTCATTGCTCTGCATGAAGTTATCAAACTTTTTGTACCACTGTCTTGGAGCATGTTTCAAACCATATAAGCTCTTCTTGAGCTTGCACACCATCTCTTTCTTTCCTTCTTTAATGAAGCCAACAGGCCGCTTCATGTAAATTTCTTTATCCAAGTCACCATGAAGAAAGACAGTCTTTATATCTAACTGCTCAAGAAAGAGGTCTTCTGCAACTACCAAACTCAACACCACTCTGATGGTTGTGAGCTTCACAACAGGAAAAAATATCTCTGTGTAGTCAACTCCTTCTCGCTATTGAAACCCCTTCACTACTAATCTGGCCTTGAATCTCTTGCTTCTATCACTCTCTTGCTTGACCCGATAGACTCATTTGTTATGTAAGGTCTTCTTCTATACAGGTAGTTGGGCTAACTCTCATGTCTCATTAGTGAGTAGAGAATCCATCTCCTCCTACATAGTATGCTCCCACTGCTGAGATTCACTCACTTGCATTACCTCTTCATAACACTCCGGCTCACCGCTATCTATCAACAATAAGTAGTCAAGAGATGAAAGATATCTGGGATTTGGTTTGAGTACCTTGGATGACCTCCTGAGCTCCATGCCCTGGGTAGTTTCTTCTACACCTGGAGCCTCCTTCGTTCTGTGGTCAGAGCAAACATCATCACCTATATCTGGAAGTTTCTCTACATCAATGTACTTGAATCCACCTGCATCCGAAGTGCTGCTCCCACTGCTTTGGCTATCCTTAGCATTTTTCCTATTCTTGTACATCACCTCCTCATTAAATATCACATCCCTGCTTCTGATGATCTTCCTGTTCTTTTCATCCCAAAGACGATATCCGAGCTCATCAATGTTGTATCCAATAAATGTGCACTTTTGTGACTTAGCCTCTAGCTTGTCCCTGACGTGGTCACTGATATGAACATAAGCCACGTAACTAAATACCCGCAAGTGTGAAAGATTTATCTTCTTTCCACTCCAAACCTCCTCTGGAATCCCAAAATCCAATGAAACTGATGGCCCGTGATTAATAAGGTAAGCTGTCGTATGCACTGCATCCGCCCAAAATATCTTAGGCAGACTTGCATGTAATCGCATGCTTCTGGCACGCTCCGTTAAGGTCTTGTTCATTCTCTCTGCAATGCCGATCTGTTGCGATATCCCTGGAGTAGTCATCTCTAACTGAATTCCATTCGTAACACAGAACCTCTTGAACTCCTCCGGTTCATATTCTCCACCATTGTCTGATCTCAGACACTTCACCTTCAGATATGTCTTGTTCTCCACCATGGCTTTCCACTTCTTGAAGACTCCGAACACCTCTGACACCCACACCTTGCTCGAGTGATCATCGATAAAGGTGACGTAGTATCTCGAACCGTCAAAAGAAGACACACTGGCTGGACCCCATACATCTGTATGAATCAACTCTAGCTTCTGAGCCTTATGTGGCCTTCCACCCTTCTGGAAACTAACCATCTTCTACTTCCCAAAGATGCAGTCTTCACAAACTCTGACTTCCACGGAGTCGATCCCGGTCAGTTTTCCCTGTGAATGTAAGATCTTCATCTCATTTTCGCTCATGTGCCCTAGCCTGTTGTGCCACAGATCTGTACTCTCTTTGCCAGCTATAATTACGAGGGTGTCACTCGCATATAAGGTGAGGTAGAGAGTTCCTAGTTTGTTGCCTCGAGCAACAACCATCGTACCGTTGGAGATTCTTCACGAATCCCCTGTGAATGTCGAAACATAGCCTTCTGCTCCAAGTTGTCCCACCGAAACAAGATTCCTCTTCAACTTCGGTACGTGTCTCACGTTCTTCAATGTCCATTTAGAGCCCTTCATCTGAATCTGCATTTCGCCCTTTCCAATAATATTACATGGCTCGTTATTCCCCAAATACACTTTTCCGAAGTCCCCTGCTATATAATTCTGAAAGAGCTTCCTGTTAGCAGTGACGTGGAAAAAGGCTCCTGAGTCGATGACCCAAGAATCTGAGTCACTATCCATAGCAAGGATCAAAGCATCCTGCACGATATGAGCCTCCTGCTCACCTGCATCTTTCTTTGGACTCTTACAGACTGAAGACATATGGCCCTCCTGGCCGCAGTTCCAACACTTCTCTTTAATAGGCCTAACCTTCGAGTTCGACCTTTTCTTCACTGATTTTGACCGATTCCTGTTCTGGTTTCCTTTCTTCTGGCTTCTACCTCTCTGTTCGAAGTTTAGGGTTAAACTTGAACCTTCTGATTCGGACGATTTCCTTCTAACCTCCTCGGATAGAATCATGCTAATAACCTCACTAAGCTTCAACTTCTCTTTTCCCATCAAATTGCTGATTGTCGTCACACAACCTGCCCAACTATCCGGCAACTGCGATAGAATCAATAGGGCTTGTACTTCATCATCGAACGTGATGTCTACGGAGATAAGCTGATCAACAATCGTGTTGAACTCGCTGAGATACATCGTGAAGGATCGTCCTTCTGCCATCTTGAGGTTGAAAAGAGTTTTGACAAGATACACCTTGTTTGTTGCCGACGGTTGCTCGTACATTTTCGCGAGCGCTTCCATAAGCCACACAGTCGTCTTCTCCTTTAATATGTTGTGGGCTACTGATTTGACGAGCGACAACCGAATTTGCCCTAGAACCTTCCTATCCAGTATCTCTCAATCACCATCTGACTCCTCTTTCTTCTGTCCTTTTTCCTTGCCCATCAGCAGGCGATACAAGTCCTTCTGGTACAGATAGTCCTCCATCTGCGACTTCTAATAGGCGAAATCTGAGCCGTCAAACTTCTCGATCTTTGATTTGATTTCCTCTGCCATGACTTTCACACAAATTGCTGAACGAAGGTTTGATACTAGTTGTTGGGAAATCCAAAACAATCATCGGACCCTTACCCTTCCGGACCTTATGTCGAAAGTAGGAAAGTAGGAAATTCACCACAAATAAAGATCAAAACTTGTAAAAGAGTAAAGGAAACAAACACACCAGATTTAACGAGGTTCAGCAACGTGCCTACGTCCTCGGGAGCCACACCACACAATTCCTTTATTAATTGAAGAAGAAATACAAGTTCTCAAACTAGGGTTTTATCTCTCTGAGATTCTCTCTTTTTCTACAGTCAAAAAGTTCTCTTTTTCGTGCTTATTTTCAACCCTAAAAACGTTTAAGGTATATATAGAGTCCTGGTAGAAACAGAATCCAAAACTATTTAGGAAACAGTCTGACTGCGTCACGGTCGACCGTGACGGTCGACCGCGCAGGTATCGCGGTCGACCGCACACCAATCGCGGTTGACCGTATCAAACGATAGACTTAAATCGATTATAGGGTTGGTGCGATCGACCGTCACGGTCGACCGCCTTCGGATCCAGCTCCTCCTGAGCTCCTGTACACGTTCGCGGTCGACCGCTGCAGACTCGCGATCACTGTGGATCAGTCTGGCAGTTTTATCTTCGTTCTCTCCCTCATTTTGATTCCAGCTTCGGCTTCGACTTTGGGTCTACACTTTAGACTAACAGGAGATACCCAACAATTTGACATGTCAGCATGGTGTTGATGTAGATAACTTACAATCATTAAGGAAAACGAACTTTATAGTTTGGCTACTGGCTTTAAAGAGTTTCTGATCATCATTGTTGGTTATTTCCAAAAACCAGATGGTTACAGAAGCTAATCTGCTAATGTTCCTTTGCAATTTAAAAGAAATATTGTACAAGTAATAACCTGTGTTTAAAAAAGATAGAAATATTGCAAAAGAAATTTGGAAATATACCAAGCTGCGAAAAGGCTCTACCACTGTACTACAACAACGCTTTCGAGTACAATTTGATTGCCAAGAGAAGAAATAAAGAATAGAACAGTACCTGTACAATCCGCATAAATGTTTATTTTACCAAATGAAAAATCTCAGCTGGGTTGGAATATTATCAGCAATTTCGTAGAAGCACGAAGAGAAACTCTTAAAACTTTTAACGGGGGCGCAGATCTCGCTGCAAAAGAAACAAAAAACAAGAGATTCATGAGGAGATCCCATTTCAATGTTTCCAATCACTAACATTGACACCATAGTAACATCAGAAGGTAAGCTGCAGCCAACTCTGAAGAGGTAGATGAAAGTACCACCAAAATAAGTTACCAAAGATCTCATATTTCTAGTCATTTAGAATGGAATAGCTAAGTAGAACTTGAGGTGGTGGTTTACATATGACATATGCAAGCAGTGGAAATTTGACTCAAAAGGATTTGGTCTCAAGAGAGGCAATAAAAACAATTTACATGCATAAATAGAAGAAACAACTGACACAACAAGGTAACTGTTCAGTTAAAGATTGGTTCTAAGAACATAAATAAACACATCACCATCAAAGTTTAACTAAAACCAAGTGCAACGAACGTGTGTATACAAATCAGACCGACGCACACAGTGACCTACAGATACCCTAAAAAGGTTAAAAGATGAGTCTGTTCATACATACCTACATGTCTCTACTCAATACATTTCAGCATACATACCGCAGAATAAGCAATTAACGCTAATACTACTGCATAACTGGAAGCAAAACGAAGTTGACTAATTATTGTAGCAAGTAGGAAATGATTCAGGAGCTCAGGTCAGTTTAGCTAAACTTATTTTGAAACCAGTTTCAAGAAATTCAATTTTGTGACAAATTATCTAAAAGTTGAAAACCAATTTTTTAAACTAATATTTGCAGACTTACTCGTGGGCCGCGGTCAACTGCCTGAGGTCGTCTGGTACCCATTGGTTCTGATTGCTGAATCACTTGCGGGCTGTCGTGCTTATAGAAGGCCTGCAAGGCCCTCACCATAAATGGTCGTACTATATTCACTTCCATGGCAGATAGATTTTTCAGCTGCAGATAAGCAGAAGATTAGTAAGAGGACGCTGAGAAGTTAATTGTGTGAGTTCACTAAATGCAAAGGGAAAAAAAAGCAAACATTCAACAGATAGTAAATGTTTGCAACTTTTATGATGAATATTACAATGGATTCAAGATCATAATCATGAACCTTGAAAAGCTGAATAGAGTGTCTTCCAGTTTTACCAAGGATCAGTTCCCTGGATAAAAGGCAAACTTCATTGAGAGCACATCAGCTCCAATGTAATGACAATAAATGGCCCAAAGAAAGGAGATATCAAATTGGTGGCAAAGGACAATGTCTGTATATTGTCAAACATAAAAAAGTACAGCAGATGAAAAATAATATAGCAGGTATAGCCACCCAATTTACAGAGAAAGATGTCCGTAAATACTCTCTCAGGCAAATATTTGGATGGTGTACAAACACAAGGAACCAAATATATGGTGGTGTATACGTATTGCCAAAGTTTTATTTGAAGAGCATGCAATTGCATAATTTGCGTTCTCACAACATCTGTAATGCAGAAGGGGCAAGCTCAATGTGCTGCCAGTTTGAAATGTTCTTAACTGAAGTGGCTAAGTTTAATTTTGCAGGTAAGACTATAGAGAATACTCACAGTATTATACCCACTAAAGACACACCTCGTAAACACTATGAAACTACGGACCAAGTTAGCTTGCACATGGCCTATTGACATATGCATGCATCCATGCATGTAGAATACTACTAAAAGAACAGGTTCTTTGTACTTTAGGGTCAAATATTGAGGTTGAGTGCAATGTTTTAGTTGAACACAGGGAACCACAGACTTCAGGAGAAAATGAGCTAGTATATGATTTATTCATTTCACAGTCACATTATTAAGGTTCGGAAACCTAAATGCCCAAAATCCTAAGCACAAGGAAAAGATTGGACCAAGAGGCACATGATGTTTTGATTGGGCAACAGGATGCTAAGGAACCTTGAAATTTCACTTATGTGAAATTTGACTACAAGCAGTGATTAAAGTGCCTCTGCTTAGGTGTTACTTCAGCAGCAACATCAATAATGTCTCTGATCCATCAGCGCACAAGGATATAATGAAAACACACTTCATAAATCATTCCTTATGCGCTTACTTCCAGTGTTTAAATTCAATTTTTCCTAGTAAAAGAACCTAGATCCTATAACCATATCTGTCATCCCAAAAATTTTGCTTTCTCCAAGACAGGTAGAAAGAGGGAAACATATACAATAAATTAAAAACATGTAAGGCAATTTAGCAAATATACCTTGACTGCATGCGTCCTACCAGCTATTGTCTCCAAACCAGTTTCAACCTTATGGAACCTAACATCCCTGATGTCCTCAATTAAAGACCGCACCTGTAAAATCATAGCCTAGGATGTTATTCTTGGTAGATTTAAGAAACATGACAGCCTACATTTTCTCATACTCACCATGTATATATTCTGAATATCATCATGGGCACTAGAAGCAAAGACAGTTTAGTAATGCATCAACAAATATTAAAAATAGTTGAATGCGACAAAAGAACATTCAAGTTATTATTGCCATACTGGTCAAATAAAAGCCGTGAGATTTCAATATAGTGAAATGGCAAGGGCTGAAATTCTCTAGGAGATTCTCTTTCTGATTCCAATACCTGTGTCAACCTCTCTGGCAAAAGAAAAAAACAGCAGTAGATCACTAAGATAGAAGCATAGTGTCAATAACAATGAGGCAAGATGAGAAAAGAAAATACAAAAACAACTAGTACATTTCCACGAAAGTGGTTGGAGCTACTTCAGGTAGCAGTACAATGAAAAGTGAAGAAAAGAGAAGAAAACAGACCCCCAATGTCAACTTCCAAAAAGACGAACAACAGATTGTGACCCTCGGCACAAACATTAAGTTGAGTTAATTTTCTTAAATTCTTCTCCAGTTGTGTCTCAACTTTATTCTCAGCCAGCCTCCAAGGTTTTTAAAAATGACATACCTTCATGGATTGACTCCAACGACATTGAAAGGATAAACTTGACTAGTCTGTGAATTATATCCCCGTTCCTTGACCCTTCAGTACCATATCTAACCCCTGTCTTTCTGTTGCAATACAAGCTGAATTTAATGGACTTAAAGTGTGACTCGGAATTAATTTTATTTCCACACTGACTGAACATAATTCCAGTTACTGAAATTATTCAGGACATCATTTGAGATAATCTCCGACAAATAATTTATTGCTTCTTATTCAATTTTGTATTTATCTACAAAGCGAATATAAAAGGAACCTCTATTTTTTTAATTTAACATATGTAGGCCTATTCCTGAGTGATGTCTAATAATAACTATAAGACACTTCCATGATACATTTTTAAGAACATTCTATAATATACTTATACGTATAAAATAATAGGATTCATACAGCCAATTTGGGGTAAAGGCTTTATCAGTGCGATTAGCATTAATGGACATGGGTGTTTCTTTGACAACAAATGGAAGTGTGCTAGCGACAGTCAAATTGCGGGGTTTGATTCGAAGAACTGTACATAGTAACTTTGTTCAGATGCATCTTAGCTTCTTAACATACTTGCAGGTGTCCTATAGAAATTTGTTCTACTTCAATCTTTAGTTTTAGTTGGGCCTAGCGTTGAACACAATTCTATGCAGCACAACTTGTTGGATATTTTTAAAGAAAAGGCAATTTTGCCTTAATGAATTCTAATAAATTTTGTAATTAAAATATGCAATTAAAATATGTTTTAATGTGTTTTAATTTGTAATTAAAATGGGCATAATGACTATACATTATGACGAACGTTACGAAATTTATTGAGGGATTTTGTAACGGCTCTTTTCAACCCCTATATAAACAACATATGTTGAGCTAAAAAAAGATGAAGAAAAATGTGGAAAACTTATCTTGTTTTTTTTTCTCCTCTACATATCATTTTCATCTATACTTTAGTTTTACTTTATGGGCAACTTCTTCATCTGAGCTGAAGCTCTGCACTCTCGCCCGAGTGCAGAGGCCGGGCCGTTTCCGGGGGTTTTTACCGCTAGGGGAGAAGGGATCATATGCGCCAGGGCGATAGGCGGGTCCTCAATCTTCTAGGACAGTGTTTACACGACTGCTCCCGTCAGGCCTGATTTTCTTATCTCTCATTTATTTTGATTTCGGATTTATTTCATGTTATAACCTTTATTTATTTGATAAATTCCCAACAATCTAGAAGATTGATGATTCATAGTTGTTGTTTTTTTTTAAAAAAAAAAATTTTAAAATTACTGTTCATCAACAGTTTACTGTTCACCCGAGAATTTACTGTTCATAACATCATGTACTTTTTACTTACTGTTCATTTAAAAAATTACTGCTTAAAAAAAATTTATTGCTAATTGCTTGATTATCTATTAATTGTTAAAAAAAAATCAGTTTTGCTACTGTTCACTCAGAAAAATACAGTAACTGTTTAAAATTTTATTTAACTAATAATTACTGTTATTTTTTTAAATGTTACTGTTCACAAAATGTGCCTGTTAATGTTCGTTTTGAACAGTTTTAATGTTTTGAAAAAACAAAAAGATTACTGTTCATTCATTTTAATGAATGTTACTATTTATTTATTTTTAAGAATGTTAATGCTCATTTATAAAAATGTCGTTACTGTTCATTCTTAAAAAAACGGCGTTACTGTTTAATTTTAAAATTGATGTTACTGTTCATTTATGTTGAGAACGGTACTGTTCATTTTATTTAAAAAGTTACTGTTCATGTAAACAGTTTTGGTTATTTAAAAAAAAAATTTGTAGCTAAATATTTCTGTTAATTTAATTTAACAGTTAATTACATTTGTCTTATAGTTGGTTTATAATCAATAATTATTGTAAGTTACGAATATCAAACAACCTTTATCGGTTTCTAAAAGCCTAGTTTATATTTGTTAGAATCATCTAAAACCTACCCTTATTCCCTTGTGCTAGTGAATATGCTCGCATTTGAAACATGCTATAAATTTGTAGCAATGCACATTTTTATTCTTGAAAGTCCCATATACATGGTTTTGACAAGTGAACAAAATCTGGATATATATATACTTTGAAGTATTTAAATTTGTTCATGGTTTAATACTTTCATTTCTTTAAACTATGAATATGGTACCTTCTATTATTAATAATTCCATACTTTGAAGTGCTTATACATCTAATAAGCTTAATACAGAAGGTGGTAAAAGTGAATGCAGATTTGTTCAGCAACTTAAGTGGCAGTTGTCTGCAACAGATGAGTTTTTACTCTCAAGACATGAATAAACCCCTCCTCGGCCTTATCCATCATATGTTTGCAGTATAGTTGCTAGGCAAATTAAATGCTAACAGGAAATAATTTAAAGTTTCTATATACTGTTAAGGAACAAAAACTCATTGAGTGAACCGATTCAAGTTTTCTTGGATTAGTTGGTGTCTAAGGCAAGGTTTAAGGGTTGCGTAACGCGCTCTGCAAGGAACGAGGTACTTAATTGATCTTTGATCAACCTCTATTACTATCCTTACCTGGCTAACTACCCGGGTAAAACTTTAATCTTTTCACTTTAGGAGTTTTTGGTTTGGAATAAGAGGACCGGAATTATGAAAAAAAATAAAAAAAATTCATATGCATTTATTTAATTACGCTTCTTGCATCATAAATTGCCTAATGATAAATGATCAATATATGAGCGAACCAAATCAAAGAGGTGCATTTTTTAAAATTCTATTTTATATGGTGGATTATATTTCAAATCTTCAAATGTAAAGTTCATCTCTTTTATTGTGTTATGATGGATATTGCAATAAATGTTTATATATCCTTTTAGATAACTTGCATTTGTTACATGATTAATTGCAAGGTTTTATGCAAGAATGCACTTGAAAAACTTAAAGCACGTATGTACAATTATTTTTATTATTATTATTATTTGTATAAGAGGTGGTACTAGAAAATGGCAACATAAAATTGGAAGGTCTCTTTTGTAGACAACCAATTTAAATTTGGAAGGTCTCACTTGTAGGCAACCAATTTAAATTTGGAAGGTCTTATTTGTAGGCAACTAATTTACAACCTCTTATAATAGAATAATTTAAAAATTTTATGCATTTGAATTATGAAGTATGAAATATATTTTAAGCTACGAAAATATTTTTTAAGATACAAAATCCTATTATGCTCTGCATGTATCTATTATTAATTTCATTCATGTATGTGCATATGCATAACTGCAGAATTTTTAGTTCCACATTAGTTTGAAATGTTCAGATATTAAGGTTAAATTTTAATCTGTACAAACACTATGCAGTTACATCTTCAGACATAGATTACGATCATAGACCATGATCTTTTATGCTAACATGTTTTGATGTCCTATCATTTTTAATAGTGACTAGAAAGAGTAATTTTATAGCTCTTTTAATGATATAGAAACTTCAAAATTGATTGCTCAACTTTTTGAAATATCAAAAAAGCTGCAGTCTAGACTAGTCGATTATCGACCAGAGAGTGAAAGGTCTCCACCACCTCTTTACGACGACTTTGCGATTAGAGTAAATACAAGGGAGGTCAGGCTTCGCAGCAAACTCAAGGAATAGAGGGAAAAATTCATCGAAAAGTTGACCCAAAATAATTCTAGCTGCCAAAAAGCATTAAAAAAATGGATGAGGAAAAAGGCCACTAAGATCAAAACAAAGATTTATATACCTGGGAAAGAATATCCTGGTTACGATTTCACAAGTATGATAGTAGGCTCACGTGGAAAAACAATTGCGAGAATGGAGAAGGAAATTGGGTCTAGAATTAAGTTGTTGTTGGATATTTTTAAAGAAAAGGCAATTTTGCCTTAATAAATTCTAATAATTTTTTGTAATTAAAATATGCAATTAAAATATGTTTTAATGTGTTTTAATTTGTAATTAAAATGGGCATAATGACTATACATTATGACGAACGTTACGAAATTTATTGAGGGATTTTGTAACGGCTCTTTTCAACCCCTATATAAACAACATATGTTGAGCTCAAGAAAAATGAAGAAAAATGTGGAAAACTTATCTTGTTTTCTTTTCTCCTCTACATATCATTTTCATCTATACTTTAGTTTTACTTTATGGGCAACTTCTTCATCTGAGCTGAAGCTCTGCACTCTCGCCCGAGTGCAGAGGCCGGGCCGTTTCCGGGGGTTTTTACCGCTAGGGGAGAAGGGATCATCTGCGCCAGGGCGATAGGCGGGGCCTCAATCTTCTAGGGCAGTGTTTACACGACTGCTCCCGTCAGGCCTGATTTTCTTATCTCTCATTTATTTTGATTTCGGATTTATTTCATGTTATAATCTTTATTTATTTGATAAATTCCCAACACAACTTTCATTATTTCAATGTTATCAAAGGCGCGCGCCTCATGCGCCCTACGAAGCGGCGGCGCCTTCTGCGCCTCGTGAGCAACCTGTGTTGCATGCAAGGCCCATGCAAAGCATAATGTCATATATTTTTGTTCTTTAACATTTCAATTGGGTCTTTATACCCCTTAGGCCGATAATTCATATCCCAAAAAGTAAAATAAAACCCGTTAATCCTTTTTAGTAGCCCAATTGAGGACCTTAATTTTTGCTTCAATATTAGTGTTGATTTGACTTTTGATTTGGACAATTGTGATCTTTGATACTATGTTGGATGTGTTAGCATTATGAATTAAGATCTTATTTTGTGATTTTGTAGTAGATATTATCTATCTTGACTTTTGTTTTTGTGAGGATACATAAATTTGTATTTTCAGGCTTGATTATCTATCTTGAAAAATTATGTGTCCAATGTGCGTCTCACTTCACTCAAGTGTGTGCATTATGTGCGCGTAAAGGGACTGTGCACCTCACGCATTTATAACAAAGTCATATCTATCCGTTTTCAAAAAAAAAATCCAAGTCTAGGAGAAATTTTGGAGAATTGCTTCTTGACAAATAAGTGACTTAAACCGCATTACCAATGAGGTCAGTTTTTCCAGTTGCCCACATGCCTATTTGGGGTTCTGGAAGACCTTCTTTCGATGTAGAGACATAAGAAAGGAATCCGGATATGATGCATTTCTGCTCACAAACTCGCATAGCATCATACATGAATTATGGCTACCTAATCTCTTCCTAGCTTGTACCTTTTGTCTCCATAAAGATAACCCATTCTTAATGGTTAATGGTTTATATCAGAAAATTTTACAGTTAAATAGCAAAATGCTGTTAGCAACTACTTATTGACAAAATCATTGCAATTTTCCCAATCAACAAAAATGCTGTGCTCAAATAAAATACATATATCTAATACGAACTCCCTTCAAATTTTAAATAGGAGAAAAAAAGTAAACTATATTACTGAAAATAACAAATAAAATTAACCTCTTACCCACTGACATCCACTCTGGTGATCTAATCGTGCATTTGCCACGTTTCCTCAGAGCCACAGCAAGCCAAAGCGGCACCCTGGTCGCAATTTGCGGGAAAAAGGGACCGTAATCCCCCTGATAATCGCCAAGAAATTCCCAATAAATGCCATAAACAACATCATATAATAAAAGTTAATATATTATAAGAGATGGAATTACGCAGATCATGTTTAGGGCTTCCATTCTAATATTGGGAACAATTTCTATCATCTCATCCTCTGCAAGGAACTCTACCTGACGGAGGAAAAAAAAACAATTTCAGACTTCAATAATTGAAAATAATCCAGAAATTTGAGATCTAGGCTTGAGGAAAAGGGATCCTGTGCCTCTGGGGCTGAGAAAATGGAGAGATCGGGATCGGATTGGCCGGCCATTGAAGAATTCGTTTGAGAAATCTAGGGTTTTCTGGTGAGAGAGCGGCAATTGAAGATGAAACTGATGGGAGATTTGGGGGTAAATGTTGGTTTTTTGTGTTAAGGGCAGAGAAATAAACCCTAGTTCTCGTGAGTGGTTACTTCACCCAAATTTTTTTCGAAGTATTTCGTTTTGCAAGGGCGGGAATTTGGCGCGTACTTTTTTCCCATTAAATTCAGTGGGTGTTTGGCGAGGCTATCTTTTTAAGGCTGGTTTTTTATTTTTATAATAAAAATATTATAAAAAATATTTGAGTAGTATAGTAATTTATTTGTTCAAACTTAACTTATTTAGGTGAGCTTACAATTAAGTGTTTCAAAAGCCGATATATACCAGCTTTTTAAATGTAACTTATAGGCTAATTTATTTTATATTTTACCAAACAAGTAGAAATGAAAATTGTTAGCTTGAAATCTAGTTTGACAAAAAAAAACGCCCCAAACACCCTCTTAATTGGATAGCTCCGATTGGACCTTCTTGGACTAGCCCTCGTGCTTAACAAGAATAAGTACAACAATAACCATACCTCCGGCCAAAATAAAATAACTCCTCCTTATTATTATTATTATTTATGACAAATCTATCAGATTGGTATATTTTATTGACCATACATGCCATATTAGTATATTTACTAACTTCGGTAATGATATGGTATATTTTGTGGGCCACTATAATAAATATCCTCCTTTTTTTGGCCGGAGCCAAAATTTTAGCCAAATAGAGTCATATGATGTGTTAGGCGTATCTGACGTGTCTAGCAAGTAGCAATCAAATGAGGGCTTAAACAATTAGAGTTCGATGTGGGAGTGTTATTCTTACTCCTATGATTAATTTGGTTAGGGCAACTAAAATTAGAGATGCATCCATCTCTAATTTCACTTGCCCTAAAAGAAAGAACAATAATATTTTCACCACATGCAATGCACGTGGATCCGACCTAAGCAAGGTATAAAGTATAATATAAAGAGCAAAATAGCTGTGACAATTTGAAATTTGTTGAGGAAAAGGCTAGGTCCTAGCTGATCACCAATCGCAGCCGCCACCGTCTTCTTCCTGCTCTGCGGCCATGGGGTTGCTGTGGCCTTGTCTTCATCTCCTTGGAGGATGTACTCATCATCCACTGATGCCACAACCCAAATCCTAATCCCGATGTTGATGCTCTCCTCCCCCTAATTACCCTTAAAATTGAGTTCTCTCTTAAAACAACCTTATTTGAAAGAAAAAAAAATTATCTGCACTTTGGCATTATTAATTTGCACCTTTTTAACCTTAATACCAAACATTTAGGTATCAAAGTTAAAAAATGTGTAAGCTTTGAGGTAACAAAGTTAAAAATGTGGAATCTTTGAGGTACCGAAGTTTAAAATGTTATATGATCTTTTGGGTTATTTAAGTTAAAAAAAGTATAAACTTGGTGTATAAAAGTGTCAAGAAAACTTTAGGTTATTAAAGTTTAAAAATACGTAAATTTTAGAGTGTCAAATTGCAAATAACCCTTAAAAAAAACTGAGGGGATTTTGGTCAATGGGGGACGTAATTGCAACAACGCTAGGATTTTAAGAGACTAATGAACAACTTTAATAGATTTGAGGGTCTAATATGTTGCTATAGAAAATATGAGGCTAATACTAAATAAATCTAAATTGCATAAGTCACCGTATATAAATCAAAGAAACCAAAACGATTCGTGTGACTGAGGGCCTATCTTGTAAACAAAATACTATATCGGTATAAATTGTTTATTATATCGCAATTGATGTATTAATATTGGTCTAACTTTGAAATTGATATATTGAGAGGTATAACTTTTCCCCCCATAGATTGGGTATTATTCCGAGGTCTAATTTTTCTGTGGGCCGTGGGATATATGCAACTATGGGCTCATCGTCATCGACCGCAACGCGCCACGCGTGAACGCAACGCAGGCTCGGTGGCATTTTTGTAAATAGCCGCTTGACATTAACAGACTATTTTGCCCCTCTACTGCCTTTTTATACCCAGAACATCCAATCTCTTCTCTCTACTACCAATACCAGCCAAACAAAAAATCGGCTCAGATCTCAAATTTTCATCTCCTCCGATTTCGATCATGGGCAGAAAATTCTTCGTTGGAGGAAACTGGAAATGCGTAATTTTTCTCCTCAATCTGTTATAATTTGATGAAATCAGTTTGTAGATCTGATCAGTTTTTTGTTCAAATTTTGTTGTCAAAGTTGGATTCGATGATCAAATTCTAGGTTTTCCGGTTCTCGAATAATCGAACATCAATTTTCTTGAAAAATTTCCCGGTCTTAATGGATGAGTGATAATTTGATGTCAAGTTCCCGTTTCAGCTTCGGACTTTTATTTGATCTAGTCGATTTGATATGATCTTATGATTACAGTTGTAATCAATAGGCTAAGAGATTTGGTTTTTTCTAGTTTCGTTGATGCTTGACTTGGAATGGGATCTTGATGTTTAGTTTGATCTCAATTTGAACCGTTTGCAGAATGGGACAGCTGAAGAGGTTAAGAAAATCGTGAAGACACTGAACGATGCCAAAGTTCCATCGCAGGATGTTGTTGGTACGTCCTTGAGCCTCTCTCTCTCTCTCTCTAGTTTGAATCATAGTTTTTTTTTTTAAAATTTAAATGTCGTTTATTGTTTTAGCCGTAAATTTGTGATGCATCAGTTGAAATCGTTAGCCCAGGCTGTGATTTTAGAAGCTGTTTTTGATTACGGTGTCCTTTTTCAAGTTGGGGATCGCTAACTTTTCTGATTTCGGAAACTATGGGGAGTTGAGTTCTTTGCCATATTATAATGCATTACCGCGTGCATTACTTGTTACCGATTCGAAGGAGAATTCATCTTGTGTTAGTCTTGTAGGACTGCAATCGTCCAGCCAAGTCAGATTGAATTTCTTCAAACGGATCAAATACAGGCTGTAATGTTTATTTGCGATTTTACTACTGAATATTGACACATGGGGTATCTTTAATTTGAAGAGTTCATCATCTTAGCACACTGTGTTTAGACTTTCCGGTGCCCAATTTATATGCACCTGTCAGGGTGCCTATTATATGTTGAAATAACATAATTTGGCTTGTAGCTGGCAATGCATTACTGACAGTTCATTGCAAGGAATATTCAGGTGTTTTATTTTCTTTTAACCATAATAATAATAATAAGGGGTTTCCCATGCAGAGGTTGTTGTAAGCCCTCCATTTGTCTTTCTTCCGTTGGTGAAGAGTTCCCTGCGCTCTGATTTTTACGTTTCTGCACAAAATTGCTGGGTGAAGAAGGGTGGTGCTTACACCGGCGAAGTTAGGTAAGAGCTTGCTTGTCTAAATTTAACCAATCCTTACATTATTTTTATTACTTCTCTGTGTATTCGCTTTCTATAAAGTTTTTGGAACATCGATTTATTTTACTATATGTCGCCTAAGGTTACTGTTATAATGTTTATTTGGTGCTGGTGGCTTATTAGCAAGCTAAACTACGAAGAGATGGGAAGTAGTGGGGGCTCATCCTACTAGTTAGATCATATGTGGTCTTTTTTTTGCGTCTCTTGGTACATCATTTTGTGAAATGAGCTGCCCCGTGTCATTGAATGGACTGGATCTCTTTTTCCTTGTTTTTTTGTAGGTAGTCTTACTTTGGTTGAAGGTGTTATGTTGAATCCTATTCACCATTGTGGTGGTTATGATGTCTGGTCCTATTTCCTCTAGCCTAGCCAGCAACTCAGCATTACAGTTGTCTAGAGACTTGGTTGGTATGAGTTATTCAATGGATTAAGCTGTATATCTAGTTTATGCTTCAAACCTTTTTTCTACAGCAATCACTATGTTTATTCAAACAATAAAATGTGCTGATCTTCAATTGAAGAGGCCTTTTTGCTCAGGTAAGTTAATTCAAGAGTATTAAAATTCTGTTATGTAAAAAATGTGCTGATTGTTTCTTGATCATTATTTAATACTGAAGCTTTCTGTGTAGTTGATCATCATATGTAGTTTTGGCAAATCATTTGGTTTGTTCCTGATAAGCATTAAATGTTTTTTGTAAAGGCTGGATCATTGGTTACTGGATTCTGAACTTCTATGTCTGTTATTCTGTTGTTATCTAAGACACTAATATAATTAACTTTTTGTTTTGTATAGTGCTGAAATGCTTGTCAATTTGGAAGTTCCATGGGTTATTCTTGGCCATTCTGAAAGACGAGCTCTGTTGGGTGAATCAAATGAGGTAAATTTTCAGTCCATGTCTGTATAGAGTGCAATGCTGTATATACACTGAATTTACTTGTAGGACCTAGTATATCTGTGAATTTTATTGACCTTAGAAGCTAAATGGAGGAATTAGATTATTCATTATACTACTTAGTTAATTTCCAAAGGGAAACTCATTATTTGATGAAATGTTAAAGTGTTATATTCTGGATTGGGTACTTAGATGATGCTTCTAAATTGATGAAGCAGATCCATTGATTTCGGTAGCAACTTTCTCTTTTCAGTGTCATTATGTCCATGTCTTTGGAAGAAGCAAATAAAATCCTGCAATATGATATCTTGTCAGTTTACACTCCTAGTAGAACAATCGAGATGTGTGATTTAATACTTTAATTTTAATTCATAAAAATCCGTTAAATGTTTCTTGCCATTGAACTTGTTTCGTGTTCAATGAAACAACTATTAGATAGAGACTGGAATGCATGTTTTGTAACTTTTGTTGTATTGATACTTTAGCAATTGCAATGGCCGCATGCCTTGCTGTATTATTTCTTTTCTGTCTCAATGTCTGCACCTAGCTGGATCCATTTAGCCTCCTTTCTCATTACTTCATGACTCCGGATTCAGACTATCTTCTCAGGTTGCCCAAACTAGCACTATTTAGTTGATAGGTTTGTTATGACGGCCATATATAAGTTTTTGACAGTTGACGGTAAGTGATAAATATTTGTTGTTCCTCAGTTCACTACCATGTTTATTTTATTTTTGTGTGATTTGGTAAATAGCTTGTAACAAGCAGTTGCTGCATGAACCATGGACTATTTTCTCGGAAGAGTTTTCATTCTGTGTTGTTGTCTATTCTCATTGTCTTCCTTGGTTCTCTGTGATTTCTAATGCAGTTTGTTGGTGATAAAGTTGCATATGCCCTAGCTCAAGGTTTGAAGGTAATTGCATGTGTTGGTGAGACTCTGGAACAGAGAGAAGCAGGTTCAACTATGGATGTCGTTGCTGCACAAACAAAAGCAATTGCTGGTAATTAATATTTTCTTCTAAAACTCTGCTTTTTATGCTTAGAATGGATACTAGAACTGCAATTGACGCTATGTGTATGTCTCTCAAGGATTTCAATAGTTTCTTATCTGTAATTCTGTATGTTGTTTTCCTCTACTATCGTAGACGGTTATTAGTTAATATGTGGTCAATGGAGTTTTCTCCTCTTTCCAAATTTATGTTGACATTGCCTAGAACCCTGTCTTTTCAAACAGAACGTGTCATAATCATTAAATCACAGGTACCACTGACATTCTTTTTCACTTGGTGATGGAATAAGGTAATGGCTTTCTGCCTGATCTTATCAGTACAGACTTCAATGTGTTTTGATTAAACAAGCATAGCTTGTGACAAGGACAGAAGAGACTATAAAGTACATTTGAAACTTCGTTTGAAATCCATCTATGGAATTCCAAATAGATGGTTGGTGATGTGTACCATTGATGAGATGTAATTTGAAAAACGAATAGAAACAATAATGATATTCAAAACAACAAATTTTTTAAAAATGAAGATAATGAAATAAAGTTCAATTTGTATGCTGAAAATTTGACATTTTCATTCACATCATTTTAATTTTATATCCATCCTAGATGAATTTAAGCTGGAGACCTGTTGTTTGCCTTGTTATATATATTTCTTGTATGGCAGTAAAAATCTAGTCTCAATTATATGTTTTACCTACATCAGTTACGCTTCGTCATATTCATGCAATTGTTAGATACACTGCTGACTAAGATTTTGTTTAATAACTCGCACAGATCGGATATCAGACTGGAAGAATGTTGTTGTTGCTTATGAGCCTGTTTGGGCTATTGGAACTGGCAAGGTCGCAACCCCTGCTCAGGCCCAGGAAGTAAGTCCAGCAGGAGTTACTTGCTTACTTCAGCTCTCATTGTATTTACAATTCATATTTTCATTAACGTGAAAAGTTATTATGAAAAGTCCTACCATTTTGCAAGATTAAGTTTAATCAAGTCATTTGGTGCTCAGACTTAGTCCAGAGTTTCAGGCATAGCCAAATTTACATATATATAACTTACAGTCCATTGTTTACATAGACTCATTATTCGCATAAAACATGTTACTGTGCAAATACGTGAATATGTAATGGTGGCTGAAAGATTCGATTTTATTGAACTTATCATTTTAAAATGAGAATAATACATTCTATAGTGCCATAACATTTATCTGTTGATGAGAAGTACTTATTCATTAAAGGGTTATATTTTCAGGCCATTAAACCTTGCACAAGCCACTAGTCTTTTCAACAAAAGCGATGATAGTACAGTGGTCATTAAACATAATACAGATATGCCATCATGGGTCCACGGTATTCCTTTTAGTCAACGATAAGAATTTTCAGTTGGTCAAAATTACCTAATTTCTTTGTCAAATATTTTCAGTGTGGTCTCATTTCCAGATCCACTCTGGCACAGTCCATACATTCTAGTGTGTATAGGCCTTTGCATGTTCTGCCTGTTCCGTAATTCATAATATGTTAAGGTCCATTAATTTGAAATGATAAATTTTATGTCCATGAACAACAATGCAGGTTTTCTTTGAATTCTTTGTTCAGTTTGATAATAATTGTAGTTTCGTAATCAAATCTTGGGTTCTTTCTTGCTGAATGCAACTGATCAGATCTCATTTCCCCACCTTAAAAGTTAACCTTACAAGTTAAACACTGATCAGATCTCATTTCCCCACCTTAAAAGTTAACCTTACAAGTTAAACACAAGTATTTCATGTTGGGACAAACCTGAGGCCTAATAGAGCAGGATCTCAGCGAATAGTAGAGATAAAAGAACATACAAATTTACGTGGAAAACTCCCTAAATGAATTTGGGGTAAAATCCACGGGCAATGATAGAAGAATCCACTATGAGGAAAAACTTAGGAGTTGTAATCTCTCTTTATAAGGAGAAACTCTCTCCATTTTTTCTCTCTTCTATATGAAGAGTTGTTTCTTGGATGACTTTTTTTAAGAGTTTTGGGCCTATTTATATTGTTTGGGAAAATACTATGCACTAATAAAATAATATTATTTTACCGTGCAACTTTTAATTTTTCAAACTTAGGCGGGGACGGTGCCTAAAATTTGGTTTGTGGGGTCTGCTCACTTTTCAATTTTTCAACAAATTCGGCTGTTGACAATCTCCCACTTGAAAATTTGATTGAGTGTCAATCATATCTTCACATCATTTTTTTTATATTGTCATCTTCATGTTGCTTATGTCTCTGACAGATCACAAGAGGATAGACACCAAATAAAATTATCAGTATTGATTGTTTTTGTCAAAATATCTGTTACGTTGTCTTTGGTATGAATTTTCTGCATATCCACTATTTCTTCTTCCACTTTCGCACGAACGAAGTGGTACTGAACTCAAATGTGTTGAATTTGTTGAAAAATTGAATTTTCTGCATCTCCATATGGCATTAGCAGAGATTGTCAGCAGCCGAAATTGTTGAAAAATTAAAAAGTAGGCGGACCCCACAAACCAAATTTTAGGCACCTTCCCTGCCTAAGTTTGAAAAATTAAAAGTTACATAATAAAATAATATTATTTTATTAGTGCATAGTTTTTTTCCCAAACACTATAAATAGGTCTAAAATTCTTTTAAAACAATTTATCTAGAAACAACTCCTCATATAGAAGAAAGGAGAAAAAATAGAGAGTTTCTCCTTGTAAAGAGAGATTGTAACTCCTAAGTTTTTCCTCATAGTGGATTCTTCTATCATTACCCGTGGTTTTTACTCTAAATTCATTTAGGGGGTTTTCTACGTAAATCTGTGTTTTTTATCTCTATGTTCGCTAAGATCCTGTTCTATTGGGCCCTGACTTTGTCCCAACAAGTGGTATCAGATTATAAAGTCTTCTTTTTAAGAAAATTTTATTGTGTAGGGATTTTGCCTCATAGAAGAGAGAATTTCTCTTTGTAAAGAGAGATTGTAACTCTTAAGTTTTTTCTCATAGTGGATTCTTCTATCCTTGCATGTGGTTTTTATCCTAAATTTATTTAGGGGTTTTTTCACATAAATTTGTGTATTCTTTTTATCTTTACTATTCGCTGAGATCCTGCTCTATTGGGTCTCGAGTTTGTCCCAACATTTCAAGCATTAGACTTTTATCTCATAACATCTAATCTAGTTCATGTGATTATGGTACGATGATCTGTACAAATTTACTCCTTAAGGGTATATTGTTGATCAACTTTTTTGTTACAACCTCCATTCAGTAAAATGTTAATGTTGTACTATAGCTATGGACACAAGTTTTGGAATATTGGGACACTAGCAATTCATGAGTTTGCCCCCCCCAGATATCAATGTCTAGTGAAACCAAACTACTACTGTACTTTAGTACTATAAGGATTCCCGCCCTTGCATAGGGGGCTCCGTTTTCTAAGGCCAGTTATAGCCAGCACGAAGTTTACCTTTAATAGTGGTGAACCTTTGAATTCATCTCTCATCTTATATTGAAAAGTTTCGCTCCTCATGTTATATATAAATAAAAATAACAACCAAGCCTTTATCCTAATTGTTTGGGATCGACTATATGAATCCTATTTTTTCATTCCATTTTGTCGCGGGTCATTTCCTCCGTTACGTTAGTCTTAATCATATCCTTGTTAATTGCTTCTGACCAAGTCACTCTAGGTCGACCTCTAGATCTCCTAGCCCCATTAACTCTAATATCAATTTTCTTAATCGGTACACTAAGGGGTCTTCTTGGCACTTACATGACCAAACTATCTTAATTTATTCTCTCTCATTTTATAATCAATAGGCGCAAGCTCTAATTTACTACGGATGTATTCATTTCTTATCCTATTTTTTAATGTATACCCACAAGGCCATCGTAATATTCTCATTTCTGTTACACTCATTTTTTGAGCATGTTGTTTTTTAATTGCCCAACATTCTGACCCATAAAGCATAGTTAGTCTTATAACCGTCCTATAAAAATTTCCTTTTAGTTTCATTGGTATTCTACAATCACATAAGACTCCTGAAGCACTCTTCTATTTTAACCATCCCGATTTGATTCGATGCATAACATCATCATCTATCTCACTATCATGCCTAATGATAGATCCTAAATAGCGAAAATGATTAGTTTTAAGGATTTTTTTTGCCATCAATATGTACTATAGGCTCTCTTTCTTTCCTACTTTTACTAAAAATGATTCCATATATTCTGTTTTTATTCTATTAATTCTAAAACCTTTAGACTCAAGAGCTTGTCTCCATCTTTCTACTTTAGAAATAATATATCTTCTAGTTTCATCAACTAATACTATATCATCAGCAAAAAACATACACCATGAAATTTCATCCTGAATGTGCTTAGTAAGTTGGTTCATAACTAATGTAAAAAGATAATGACTTAAAACTAACCCTTGGTATAAACCTATGGTAATAGGAAATGGTTTAGTCTCTCATTCATTAGTTCTTACACTTGATGTTACTCTATCATACATATCTTTAATTACATCAATATATATACTAGATACACATTTTTTTCCTAACACATCACATTACCTCTCTAAGTACTCTATCATAAGTTTTTTCTAGATCGATAAAAACTATATGTAGATCATTTCTCTTCTCTCTATATCTCTACATCAACCATCTCAAAATATGTATAGGTTCCATAGTTGACCTCCCATGCATAAAACCAAATTGATTTTCATATATATGTCTTTTTTTTTAGTCTTTGCTTAATTACCCTCTCTCAAAGTTTTATAGTATGACTCATGAGTTATATACCTCAATAATTTGAATAACTTTGTATATCCCCTTTATTCTTATATATTGGTATCGAAATACTAATCCTCCACTCATCCGACATTCTTTTTATCTCGATAATCTTATTAAATAGTTTAGTTAACTATCCTAAGCCTATATCTCCAAGACATTTCCCAACTTCAATAGGGATATCGTCCGATCCTATGACACGTCTTTTTTAACCTCGCTAATCTTAATTTTATGACAATATCTATAGTTCCTACCATTCACTATATGATCAAAATCTCTATTTTGCTCACTTGTTTGATTATCATTAAATAGTTAATAAATGTAACCTCTCCACCTCTCTTTTATTTCCCTGTCGGTCACTAGAACTCTTTGATCCTCACTTTTAATACACCTAATATTATCCAAATCTTTACTCAACTTTCTCTAATCTTAGCAAGCTTATATATATCTTTCTCTCCCTCCTTAGGTTCTAACTTCTTATAAAAAATTTCATAAACTTTGTATTTATTCTCACTAACTTGCACTTTTTGTTTCCTTCATTACTAGTTTATATTTTTCTAAGTTTTCTTCTCTCTAATAACCTTTTGCGCACTCTCATTCTACCACCAACTCTCCTTACCGTCAAATCTACAAACCTTTAGATTCTCCTAGTATATCTTTAGACACTTTCTTAATACAAGAAGACATGCTATTCCACATAATATTAGTTTCGCAATCTATGTTTCATATATGTTCTTTCATTATCTTATCTATAAAATGTATTAAATTATCTTCTTTTAAAATTTACCATTTAGTTCTTAGTCTTTTGTTCACGTTAGTTTTTCTACTTCACTTTTTAATAGATATGTCTAAGATTATCAATCTATGTTGTGTACTTAAAACTCTCTTCTGGTATAACTTTACAATCCTTGTATGTTAACCTATTCGCCATTCTAGTAAGAAAAAAGTCTATTTGACTATTATTAAAATCACTTTTAAAGATTATTAAATGTTCATCCCTTTTTCTAAAAAGTGTTTGCTATTATCAAATCATATGATATTGCAACCTCTAGAATTGATTTACCCATATCATTTCATCTCCATATCCGAAACCTTCATGTATCCTCTCATATCTGTTATTATCCTTACCAACATGCCCATTAAGATCCCCTCCTATAAGCAATTTCTATCCAAATGGGATTTCTTGTACTAATTTATCTAATCTATCCTAAAATTTCCTTAGTACTCTCGGGCAAGCCTATTTGTGGTGCATAAGTACTAATAATATTAATAACCTCTGCACCTAAGATAACTTTTATTAGTATTATTTTATCTCCCAACTCTTCTTACATCTACAATACTTTCTTTTATTATATTACCTACATGAACTCCCACTCCATTCATATTCTTCTCTTTTCCCGTGTACCAAAGTTTATATCCGGTCTTTTTAATTTCTCTAGATTTTTCATCCATCTATTTACAAATTATATTTATCTTTCTTCTAATCATGACATCTACTAATTCTATTATATTTCCGGTAAGTGTGCATATATTCTAAGTAGCTAATCTAATTCTAATTTTTTTGTAAAAGTCTCCTACCATTTTCTCTCTTAGACCATTCTAGTCTATGCCTAATACTATTAGATATCCTTTTAGAAAATTGTAGATATTTTGAACACCCTTGCTTACTTGTTATTACATTGGGATGACATGCTCTAGCAAACCACCATTGCTTACTTATCATTGCATCGGGGTGAGATCGATGCAATGCGTCGCAGTGAGGACGCCATGTTACTTTACGTTAAACAGCATTAATGTCTAAATGATGCATATCATTATTCTTGTTTCATTAAGGCGTTTTCTGTTTGCTTGGTAACTTTTTCTTACCAACCTTTTCATTTTGATATAAATCCCTAAAATTTGTCAGGTGCACGATGGTCTGAGGAAGTGGCTTCAGAAAAATGTGAGTGCTGATGTTGCAGAATCAACTAGGATCATCTATGGAGGTATGCAAATTTCCCTAGTTATACTTGATGCTAGTGTATTGTATATTTAGATTCTTTAGAGCTCAGACACCACTTTGTATTTTTGCATAGGGGTGTCTGCATATATACCAAATCTTTAATATTTGCAAAATTTCCCCTCAAATTTAGATACTTCAATTAAGAATCTTGGTTTCAAGCTGGGCAATATTTACCTCGGAAAAAAAAGGTCGCCTTTTTTTGGTTATGAGAGAGAAAGGGGTGGGGGGGTCAAATTTTCCAATAATTTCAATGGGTTTGCAACAATTTCCCGTTTAAAACCAAAAATTGTTAAGTAAAAGGAGAAGAAAATAACAATGTGAGAGAACTGGGGATAATTTTGCAAATACCAAGATTCGAGGGATAATTTTGCAAATATGGAAGATTTGAGGTGTATATATGCGAAAATCCCGAAATAATGCTAGGGTTTGTGAGGATATTTTTTTCATCTTGTGTAATCTGTTCCCATGGAACCACTGACACAGTACCAATGCATTATTACTGCAGGTTCTGTAAATGGTGGGAACTGCAAGGAACTAGCAGGCCAGACCGATGTTGACGGATTTCTTGTCGGTGGAGCTTCTCTCAAGGTCTCTTTCGTCTACTCTTTTTAGTAATATAACTTATATACCCTAAATAATAGTTAGCAACTTGTGTAAACCCTCGATGAATACGATCACCACCACCATCAATAATCTATTTTATACTCAAAATTTTTTTTTGGGTCAGACTTAAATTATTTTCACGCAACCTTTGCTTATTGTCATTAGATAGTATGAAAAAGAAATGATCAGAGCAGAGTTGGCGGTATCTTTATTTGTAGATTTGCTTCTTTTATAGCTTTTAGAGGCTCGAAGCCTTTTCTCTGGCTCACGGTATCTTTATTTGTTTTGCTTCAGCCTGAGTTCGTGGACATCATCAGTGCTGCTACGGTCAAGTCTGCTTAGGTGGAATCTAGAAGTTTTTGCAAAAACGATCCCAACTCCTTTAATTCTGCAGTTTTCTTTTTGTTGTTAATTTAAACCTTGTAGTCTCCTGCCTGAAACTTTGAGGAAAGCAAAACCCAAACAGGCTGCTTACTCTAATAACGTTATTTTCCTGACCATGGGAGGGGAGCGCCCATGTTCTTCAGTTTATTTAGCTGCGAGTACGGATCAGGCTATTTTACTTGGGCCAAGTTCTGTTGAGCTGAAGGCCACGCTTATCGGTTAATACAACCTGTTATTTTTTTTGTTTTCTGCTAAATTATGCCAATGCTCTCTTGGCCTTGAAAATCTGGGGTGATCTTTGCACCTACAGCTCCGATGTGTGTCCTCATGTGGAATAAGTTAGTTTAATGTCGGTTTGCCGCAGATTGTTTTAACTGTTGTTTGCTTTCGGCGTTGAAGGCTTTCTTAAATCACGCCGTATTTTTCTTTTATACATCTAAATTACCTAGTTAAAAGGACTTTGATATTTCCAATATCTGTTGGATGGCCGCTTTGTTCTCATGCTAACACTGGGTTTAGCTAATGGATTTTCGGCGTATTTGATTTGATTTCGAGTTATCCCGGAGGTATTATAAACGATTCGAAGTAGCATCTCTGGTTAAGTTGATCAGCTAACCTGGATTAAACTCGGCAACTCCTTAAGAGGGTGTTTGGCTAATTGAAAGTTTGAAAGAAAGCACTTTCTTTTGCAAGTGAAGAAGTTTGTTTACGTCAGCGTGCAAGTGAAATATCGTGTTTATTTATAAATGTAAATAACTACTACGAGTTAGGAAAATAATAATGATGTGGCAATATATATTATTTTATTTATTTAAAATCGTATTGTACTTTAAGTAGTTTTTTGGTGACTGCAAATAAATGAATTGATAATGAGTTCTTGGAGTGAAAATATTCATTTATTTGATAAACAAAAGCAAATTTCTAATACTTTTTTTTTAAAAGATCATATTTTATATTTATCATATGATTTATAATTATTTTTAATATCAAATTATTTATCTGATAGCAATTTTAATAATCATATGGTGAATAATATTAAATAGTAATGTTTTAAGGGATTAACATAGAAAATCCCAAAAGTAAGTTAACACGGCCGTACAAAAAAATTGATCTTAATGGTAAGATTAGTTAAAAGTAGTTCTCACTTTCGGACTTTCGTCTGAAATCCGTGCTTTTTTAGAAAAAGCAAAAAAAAAAATAGTAAATATGATATGATAAGTTTTTGCATTTCAATTTTACATATACTTTCAATTAAACAAACATCCACAATAGTGAAGGGTTTTTTTTTTAAATAGACCGATTTTACTAAATATTTAGTAAAATCGATCATTTTGCTAAATATTTAGTAAAATCAATCATTTTGCTAAATATTTAGCAAAATCGATCTTTTTTTTATAAACAAGTTAAAAAGAGGTCGATTTTAAAAAAACAATCAGCTGAAAACATATGGGATTACTAGTCCCCTATGTTTTCAAGGACATTAATCACTGATTAGTGCTCACAGAAAACAAACGGGGCTAGTAGTCTCACATGATTTCCGAGAGCTCTTTGGTGTTCAACAAAACATACGGGGCTAGTAGTCTCGTACGTTATATAGAGGCATTTTGCTTCCGCCCAGCAAACATACGGGACTACTAGCCCCGTATGTTTTGTTGAACACCAAAGAGCTCCCAGAAATCATACGGGGCTACTAGTCCCGTATGTTTTCTGTGAGCACTAATCACGAGACTAGTAGTCTCATATGTTTTTAGCTGGACGTTTTTTTAAAATCGACTTCTTTTTAGCATGTTGACAAAAAAGAGGTCCATTTTGCTAAATATTTAGTAAAATGATCGATTTTGTAAAATGGAAACCAGCAGTAGCCCATGGGCCTTGGATATCGGCCCTAAACAAAAATATCCTCTCATATATTAAAGCCCCGCTTGGATAAAGGAGGGAAAAAATCAATCTTGCATCCCTCCCTCCTCTTCTTCGTCCCCAAATAATTAGGGCTCCAAACAAACACGGAGCTCATCTCTCTAATGGCGACGCTCCCGCACGTGTACTCCGCTCCATTCGCACGTGCCATACGCTTCCGCTCCTTNCCCCTCCATCACGTGCCTTGCACGCGGAGTCCCGCGTGCTTCTCGGCATGTCGGAGTCCGAGCTCCAGCAGCTCGCCATCGACTTGGGACAAGTAAGAGATAACTTCTTAGGGTTCAATTTTATCTTATTTTCCTTCAATTTATGTTCTTCAACAATTCCTTTAAATAAAATCTGAGCAGCAAAAGTACAGAGGTCGGCAGCTACACGATCTTCTGTACAAGACCAAGGCGAAAGAATATCAAGACTTTAAAAACTGTAATTTTCCATTTAATCACTTCATTATCTTCCTTTTTTTTTCTTTTCTTTTTTTGTTGTTATTATTATTTTATTGCGTGCTAAAACTATTGAGCAGTGCCTCAGGCATTTCGAGATAATCTCAAGGAAGCTGGGTGGAGGGTTGGGAGATCGGCCATCCATCGATCTGTTACTGCAGCTGATGGCACTGTCAAGGTTATCATTTTCCATACAATTTTATTATCTTGGGTTTTCAATTTGTTATTAAACATGCTGAATTGAATGCCAAAGTGAGCAAACCACCGAATGACAATAGCATGGCCTTTAGGTAGCAACACGCCAACACCACGTTACATACTTCCTTGGGTTCGTGCTTCGACTGCCACCGGCCACACAACTAATTAGAGGATTCAAATTGGTAAATTGGTTATACACATTTAAAAAGAGGCTGATTGATATAATAGAATGTAAAATCACAAACGGGTGGTGTTGCTATAGGAATTTGTTGGCTCGTTAGGAAATGAGAACAAAATGGGGTGTTCCAAAATCGATTACATAGTTAGCTGAATCAAATTAAACCAATGACGATTCAAACGTACTACAGAAAACATTCAGAGCACTAGCATTATCTGGATGGTGCTGGTTTCATCCTACATTTAATTGTTCATAATATCCCCAAAGCTCATATACGTGTGCAGTACTGTTCATTTTACTTGTCCACAAGCATGATTATTTCCTTACTCTTAAATTGAGGCGTTTTGTAATTGTCAATTATTTTGCAGATACTTATAAAGTTAGAGGATAATAGATTGGTTGAAACTGTGGGAATACCTGTTGAAGATGATAAAGGTTCCTTCCGACTCACTGCTTGTGTATCATCTCAGGTATATTATTTAGCTGAGGTTGCCATTAATTATGAGTTTGTCTCTATTTTCTTAATATTTCGCAAAATGCAGGTAGGCTGCCCCTTGCGTTGTTCATTTTGTGCTACGGGCAAGGGAGGATTTGCGAGGAACCTCAAGCGGCACGAAATTGTTGAACAGGTTCCTTGTTAACTTTAAATTAGCAGTTTGTAATTTGCAACTGAAATTGTCTATAAACTTTTTTGTTGTTCATTCTTGTGTGTACTATAGACATATACTGTATGTGTAGGTACTTGCTATTGAGGAGCTCTTCAAACACAGGGTGACGAATGTTGTTTTTATGGGAATGGGTGAACCAATGTTGAATTTAAAATCAGTTTTGGGAGCACATAAATGCTTGAATAAGGTATACTTTCTGATGCCTTGATTTCATATTGTCTAGTTTTATGGTATCTTTGTAAGACAAAGATATGGTTGCGACCTGAGCCATCTGCTAGAAGTTTTGCATCTGCTAGTACTTTTTTACCTGCAGAATAGCCTGAGCAATAGGTTGCACATTTTGCTTTTTAGCTTTTTATATACTCCCTGTAGCCAAGACCCAAGAGGAAAAAGTTGTGTGAAGACTGTTTTTGTTTGAAACAGTTTTAAAAGAAAAAAAAAAGAGATAAAACCACAGGCATCCTAGTAATAGTGCCTTAAATATCTGAGCATACATGGGGACTAAAATAGTAAAATGTAGTAGCTTATACTTAGCTCTAACAGTGATACATCATTAGGTCATATAATTTTGATTTGAGATCTTTCAAGAACTATATATTATGGACAAGTTAATTTGTGCATTGGAACATTTTTTTTGTTGTTGATGCAAACAGAAGAACAAATGCTGACAGGTTATAGGGTATATAATTTAAAACTTCATCTGCAGGACGTCCAAATTGGCCAAAGGATGATGACAATATCCACAGTGGGCGTGCCCAACACTATGAAGATGTTGGCATCACACAAGCTCCAATCAACCTTGGCTGTCAGGTTTGTCTTTTGCTTGCTAATCTTCTCATAAGTGTATTTTCATCTGTCAGGTTTGTCTTTTGCTTGTTAAGCTTCTCTTAAGTGTATTTTCATCTCACCGAAACACTCCCCTATCAGAATGAATGGACTTGAGTCTGAGAAGGCACCTTAGAGGGTTTGAAAAGTAGTTATGATAGGTCATCAACCTGATATCGTCTGTTTATGAATAATGTCAAAATTCTGACATTGGGACCAAGCAGAGCAAATCTCTTAGGGTGTGAATTGGGAATCTGAGTTTAGACTGTCTTATTCTAATGTGATCAGTTTATTTTTAATAGCATGAGCACGGTGTGAGCTGGTTTTATAGATGAATTAGACATACTTAGGCTTGTTTAAAAAGTAACCAAGTAGCTTGAGCTCGAGATTCTTAAGCAAGCTTGCTCTAGTTTAAGTTTCTTTCTAGCGTCTTTGTCTTTAATGACAATATAAAGAAATATTATCTGGTAGCATGCAGTGAGTACATAGGATAAGTTAAACTTACTTACTAAAGAGTTATTTTTTTTAAATAATCTGGATTACATATTCGATACAAACTCAACGGTTAACAGTGCTGACTTTTTCGTAGTTCGTACCATTGAAATATTATTTTTCTTTGCCGAAACACTTAGATGTTCCATGGAATGTAGAATTACCGAAGAATCTAAAAAGATGCAACATTCTGATGTGTATTGCAATGTGCACTCTGCACTTATGAAGTCAATTAAATTTTTTTATCCATGTAGACTGTCAAAGCTATGTCCATATCAAACGAATGTTGTGTTTCTTATGAGCAGAATGAGTTTAACTCGTTTTTGTAATTATGCATTCTTCACTGATCTGCACAATTTCTTTCTTGGGGAAAGCTTGCATGCGCCTAACCAGAAACTCAGAGAGTCAATTGTTCCAAGTGCAAAATCCTATCCTTTGGAGGCACTCATAGAGGACTGCCAGGACTATTTTCTTGAAACCGGACGAAGAGTTACTTTTGAGTATACCCTTTTAGGTACTTTTGAGTATACCCTTTTAGGTACTTACCTTTATGTCTATACACATTGATATTTTTTAGGATTGCAAATCTAGATCACTTTTGTATTGTTCTTTGTGATCGAGCAGCTGGGATTAATGATGGAAAGGAGCAAGCTCTGGAGCTTGCAGAATTGCTTCATGGCTGTGGCCGTGGTTATCATGTGAATCTGATACCATATAATCCTGTAGAAGGATCTGAATACCGAAGACCTTACAAGAAAGCAGTAAGCTTCCAGCTTTATAACCACCGATTATTGTTTACTGATTTGGTTACCCTGTGAAGATAATAAGCTGCGTGTTTTCATTTTAAACATCCTCAGGTGCTGGCTTTTGCGGAATCTCTAGAATCTCGGAGGATAACTGTCTCAGTGCGACAGACACGTGGGCTTGACGCCAGCGCAGCCTGTGGACAACTCAGAAATGACTTTCAGAAAACTCCTCTGAAGGAATCATCAACGTCCGAATCTCAACCGATCCCAGCTTGACATAATTTCCTGCGGGGAATTTTCTGAACTCTATCCGGCATGATCTCAATGAAAGGCGAAAGTTCTGTCAATATGTAGCAGTGCTCTTGGTATTAGCTTGCATAACACAGTGCTTGGCACTCCAAGAGCTTACTCTGATCAGAAAGATTGAACGAAACTCTTGAGGCACTCCAAGAGCTTGATTTGTTGTTATACAGCATCCTGTGGCGTCATTCAAGCACCAGTCTCCAAATTTTGCATGCGCATAAAGAATTTGCTGCACAAAGCTCAGAGGGGTTTTGTTTGAATTTCTTTCCTGTGTAAATGTATTTCATCAGCGTATTCATTTTTGTACAACATATACTTATCTTGGTTTTTAAGAGCTTACTGTCGCGCGCCGTGCGGAAGCGTGTTCGCGAACCAAACGAGTCGGCGAGCAATGAGAGAAGAACCAAACATAAGTGCAATTTTCAAAATAACGGCCAAAATCACACACAAACACAGAGATTTACGTGGTTCGGCAATTACTTACGTTCACGGGGAGAGGATGAGAAGATTTTACTATATGAAGTAGAAAACTACGGGTTACAATCTCTCAAACAACTTTTAAAATAACCCAACTAATGATCCCATACTCCCTCACAATAATTTCCTTGTTCAAAACAATCAATTTTCTCCATTAATCTCTTCTCCTAAATCCTAGAAAGATGTGTTTCTATTTATAACAAAACATAATCCAAAACAGGTTAGGAATCAGAAAATGTGTCTGCGACACCCGGGTGTGACACGCACTACACCCCTGATAACGAATAGTAACAGATAGCTTCTGTCACACCTGAGTGTGGCATGAGGTGTATTGCAGATAGTTTTTGCCACACCTGGATGTGGCACGAACTACACCCGTGGCCGCTGAATCTTTCAAGTTTTTCAACATTTTGAACAATTCGTTGTAGTTTTCTACACTTTGGATCATGTCAAATCTCCTTTACATTATTATTTTGGTCATTCATCTGATATTATAGAGGATCCTGTTTCAAGATCTCTGGCTACAGTTATCAAATAAATGATTTTGTATTTTTCTGTGGTGACAATAGATAGAGGAATAGTATACCATCATCTCATGTGGTGACCAATGGGATGTGCTGATGCCTCTTTGGCTAAAAAAAACAAAAGCCAGCGAGCATCGATAAAGCCAATCAAGTTGGGGTCAGACCGGGACAAGATTGGTGCCATCAATCTGGTAGGGGGGCTAGCATCTATATACTCAAATGCTGCGAATGATCACATGGCACCTTTTCTTTTCTTTTCTTTTTCCTTTTTCTTTTCCCCCTCTTTTTCTTTTCTTTTCTTTTTCTTTTTTGGGAAAGATGTGTCCAGGCCCCAAAAGCAGAAAGTTCATGTGACCCGCCCCTTTGTATTTTGCCCCATGTGATTCAGCCCCAAATACACATTGTATTTGTGTTAAGCCCCAAAGTACCAGATCCTGAGAAAAACCCAACAAAAGTTACAAATTTACCCTTTGATTTGATTGAGCTTGGTAACTGCGCCCATCCCTTTAACCCCATCCCATCTCTCTCTCTCTCTCTCTCTCTCTCTCTCTCTCTCCTGTGCAGATTAGAACTAACACTCTACAGAATAGAACTAACACTGTGCAGATTAGAACTAACACTCTACAGAATAGAACTAACACTGTGCAGATTAGAACTAACACTCTACAGAATAGAACTAACACTGTGCAGATTAGAACTAACACTCTACAGAATAGAACTAACACTGTGCAGATTAGAACTAACACTCTACAGAATAGAACTAACACTGTGCAGATTAGAACTAACACTCTACAGAATAGAACTAACACTGTGCAGATTAGAACTAACACTCTACAGAATAGAACTAACACTGTGCAGATTAGAACTAACACTCTACAGAATAGAACTAACACTGTGCAGATTAGAACTAACACTCTACAGAATAGAACTAACACTGTGCAGATTAGAACTAACACTCTACAGAATAGAACTAACACTGTGCAGATTAGAACTAACACTCTACAGAATAGAACTAACACTGTGCAGATTAGAACTAACACTCTACAGAATAGAACTAACACTGTGCAGATTAGAACTAACACTCTACAGAATAGAACTAACACTGTGCAGATTAGAACTAACACTCTACAGAATAGAACTAACACTGTGCAGATTAGAACTAACACTCTACAGAATAGAACTAACACTGTGCAGATTAGAACTAACACTCTACAGAATAGAACTAACACTGTGCAGATTAGAACTAACACTCTACAGAACAGAAATAACTTGGTATAAATTAGAACTAACTTGGTATAAATTAGAACTAACTTGGTATAAATTAGAACTAACTTGGTATAAATTAGAACTAACTTGGTATAAAATGAGAACAAACTTGGTATAAAATAGAACTAACTTTGTATAAATTAGATCTAACATTGTATAAAATAGAACTAACTTGGTATAAATTAGGTTTATAACGTTGTAAAAAATAGAACTATCTTGGTATAAATTAGAGCTAACGTGGTATAAATTAGATATAACGTGGTATAAATTAGGTTTATAATGTGGTATAAAATAGAACTAACTTGGTATAAAATAGAACTAACATTATATAAATTAGAACTAACTTGGTATAAATTAGAACTAATGTGGTTTAAATTAGAACTAACTTGTTATAAAATAGAACTAACTTGATATAAATTAGAACTAACTTGGTATAAATTAGAACTAACATGGTATAAAATAGAACTAACTTGGTATAAATTAGAACAAACTTGGTTAAAATTTTAGAACTAACTTGTTATAAAATAGAACTAACTTGGTATAAATGAGATATAACATGGTATAAATTAGGTTTATAACGTGGTTTAAATTAGAACTAACATAAATTAGATATAACGTGGTATAAATTAGATATAACGTGTAATAAAATAGAACTAACAAGCCATCACACGCTACAGAATAGAACTAACACTGTGCAGATTAGAACTAACACTCTACAGAATAGAACTAACACTGTGCAGATTAGAACTAACACTCTACAGAATAGAACTAACACTGTGCAGATTAGAACTAACACTCTACAGAACGGAACTAACACTGTGCAGAATAGAACTAACACTGTGCAGATTAGAACTAACACTCTACAGAATAGAACTAACACTGTGCAGATTAGAACTAACACTCTACAGAATAGAACTAACACTGTGCAGATTAGAACTAACACTCTACAGAATAGAACTAACACTGTGCAGATTAGAACTAACACTCTACAGAATAGAACTAACACTGTGCAGATTAGAACTAACACTCTACAGAATAGAACTAACACTGTGCAGATTAGAACTAACACTCTACAGAATAGAACTAACACTGTGCAGATTAGAACTAACACTCTACAGAATAGAACTAACACTGTGCAGATTAGAACTAACACTCTACAGAATAGAACTAACACTGTGCAGATTAGAACTAACACTCTACAGAATAGAACTAACACTGTGCAGATTAGAACTAACACGCTACAGAATAGATCTAACATGGTATAGATTAGAACTAACACGCTCCAGAATAGAATTAACATTGTATAATTTAGAGATAGCTTGTTATAAAATAGAACTAACTTGTATAAATTAGAACTAACTTGGCATAAATTAGAACTAACGTGGCATAAAATTAGAACTAACATGGTTATAAATTAGAACTAACTTGTTATAAAATAGAACTAACTTTGTATAAATTAGAACTAATGTGGTTAGTTCTAATTTTTACCAGCTCGTGTTAGTTTTAATTTATTTAATGTGTTAGTTCTAGTGTTAGTTCTAACAGATATCGTGTTAGTTGTAATTTATTTAAGTCATTAGTTCTACGTAATTGTTGGGTCTAAACGCCATGTTAGTTCTATTTAATGATGTGTTAGTTCTAGCTTCTCTAGTGTTAGTTCTAACTGGTATCGTGTTAGTTCTAATTTATTTAAGTCGTTAGTTCCAGCGTAATTGTTAGGTCTAAATGTCATATTACTTCTACTTGATGATGTGTTAGTTCTAGCTTCTCCAGTATCAATTCTAACATGTATCGTGTCAGTCCTAACAGGAGCTCAACTAGAACTAATATAGCCACTAGAACTAACGCTTATATTAGAACCAACACTAGCTGGAAGTAGAACTAACATTAAATAAGTCAGAACTAAATTAGAACTAACATAGAACAACATAAAATAAGTTAGAACAAACATTAAATAACTTAGAACTAAAATTAGAACTAACATGAATTAGAACTAAATTAGAACTAACATAAAATAAGTTAGAACTAACATTAAATAACTTAGAACTAACATTAAATAACTTAGAACTAACATGAGTTATTGCTCATGATAGAGTTCAAAAAAGGGCGAGAAATTTCCCTCTATTTTTTCCATCAGATTGCATTAATGGGCATGACTTTCCATGTAGTTTGTGGACCAGACGTCTAGGGAAGATAAGTGGAGGGGTAATTTCGGGTTTTTTTTCAAAATACAATCTCTTTTTTTATACTGCTGACGTGGAGGGGCCTTAAAATATTAAATGGTACTTTTTGGGGCTGAATCACATGGGGCAAAATACAAGGGAGCGGGTCACATGAACATTCTGCTTTTGGGGCCTGGACACATTTTTCCCTTTTTTTTGCATAAACTATTTTAGTGAAAGATTAACTACAACTTTTACGAAGAGGCAAGAGAATCTGTGTTTTCGAGCTCCGAGCTGTCCCTGCTTCATTTGACTCCTGTCCCAAACTCTTCTATAGCCAATCCCCATCATGATGAACTGATAATGTAATCTTGTTCTTTTTTTTAAAAAAAGAGGTGAGTTGCACTTAAACCCCTTGCAATATCACTGTCTTGCACTTACTATTGTTGTGATAGACCCCCTGAGTTAAATTTTTGTGCTAGATTGAAATTATAGAGTCCGTCGGAGGTTAAAAGAGTCAAAAAGTTAACCCAGTGGTGCGACGAGGGTGAGCTAACTCCAAAAACCCGTCCTCAATTCAGATTGCAGGCTGGAGCTCGTCAACATGAAGCCGGAATGGCTAGTAATCACCGGTTAGCCACACGGCGGTGAGTTCATTCCCAAGCGTTTGTGCACGCTGCCCGTCACACTATGGGAGCTGACCATGCCCATAATAGAACTGCAATGGTGGTAAGTTCAAAACAATATAGTCGGGGGATCTATAAGCAAATAAGAGCAAGTAACCCATTTTTAAAGTAATACTAATGAGACTAGTTTCCAGATGTTGATTATTATTGTTAAAAAACGCCTCTATGTATACCACTTAATGCATACTGCTACAAAAGGATCATACGAGTATTTTTC